CCCAAGCGGCCCTCGCCCACGGGGCCCTCGCCCACGCTGCAACGAAGAATTGAGCCTGGAGCCAAAATGGCAACGAGCCAAAATGGCGACGAGGGAGGAGGAGGAGAGGAGGAGGAGGGGAAGGAGGCGGAGGAGGAGGAGGGAGAAGCGCGGGTGCGGGACAAGAGAAACCCAAACACGGAGAAACTTGCCTGCAAAACCTCCTCCTGCTCCTGCTGTCGAACAACGGCGGCCGCAACTGCAGCGGCGATGGCGCCCCGCCGGACCAGTGCTGGCACGAAGCGCGCGCCTGTCGCCATCTCCTCGTCCTTCTCCGCCTCCTCGTCCTCCTCCCCCTCCGCCTCCTCCTCAGGGGTCCTGGTGTTTCCTGGTCCCTCCTGGGCTCAGGGGTCCTGGTGCTTCCTGGTCCCTCCTGGTCCCTCCTGGTCCCTCCTGGTCCCTCCTGGTCCCTCCTAGTCCCTCCTGGTCCCTCCTGGTCCCTCCTGGTCTCTCCTGGTTCCTTCTGGTCCCTCCTGGTCCCTCCTGGTCCCTCCTGGTCCCTCCTGGGCTCAGGGGTCCTGGTCCCTCCTGGCCCCTCCTGGCCCCTGACCCACAACCCAGGCACTTATGTTATCGTATGTTTTGGGTTATGTTTGCGTTGGCACTTCTTCTGTTTTGTACTACTTGTTTTGTTTTTTTTCGGCTCTCTGCCCTGCCGGACAGCTGAGTACCCAGTGCGCGGCTGATGACACAGAGCGGTCGGCGCACGGCTCGCGCAGCTGGCACGGTACGTATAAAGCAAATCGCGCACCATCTTTGCGCGCCAAACGCGCGCCAACATGAAAGTAATGTACTCATGGAAGTGCCATTTCTTCTTGATGTGTCTGGGATCCCATGCATTTTTCCTCACGGTAACTTCAGGTCTGGGGCGCCCGCAGCAACTCACTCGTCAGGGACGGGAATGCGATCTCTCGTGCTCTTGTCCTCTCTGTTCCAGAACACGATGGCCTCCCGGTACCCGGCCTTCCTGCTCTTCACCCAATCCTCGCCAATGCCGAGGCCCCTCGCGCCGAGCCTCTTGATCTTGGCCTCCTTGTCGGTCGTCTTGTAGTGGGCGCTCCACGCCCTGACAGAGGGGTGCCATGTGATTTTGCCCGCGATCGCTGGGCACCCGTCCGAAGCGATCTGGAATGATGGCTTGGACCGCGAATCCGCCCTCAGCCGGATCGTCGCGCTGTCCTCGCGCATCTTTGTCTGGATGTATTTGATCACGGCCATGATGGACGTCTCCGTCGCCTCGATCAAGTACGGCTTCTCCCGCGCCCTCACGAAAAGGTCTGTGTCGCCCAGCTGCACGGTCACGGCGTCCACGTTTGAAGGCGTGCCGCGCCGCCGAGGCCTGTTATCCTCCGCGCCGTCCTCCTCGTCGAAGCCCACGGCCTGCGCGGAAGCCTGCAACTGAGCCCTCGGGTCCGTCTTCGAGAAGATCCCCTCCTTGAGCACGCCTCTGAGGTTGCTGATCGCGTACTGGAAACCACGGGACAAGTGAGTCTGGCCGCGAGACTCATCGCAGGCCCGCCGCAGCCATGAACTATTCTCGGACAGCGGGAAGAAGTGGCGGTCGCCCCGTTTGACCAATGGGCGCACTACGCAAGGTGTCTTTATCTTCGGGCCCCACACGGCCAAGCGACTCACCACCTGCACCCCCGCCGGAACCCCACCGCTTGAGCCCCACCGCTTGAGCGCCCGGCCGCGCGGTTTCGGCGCTGCCTTCTTCAAGTGCTTCTTGGCGACTCCGCGCTGGCGGCCGCCGCGAGAGGGAGCGCCGGCGCTCGCTGCCATCGCTGAGACAAGCGCCGGCGCCGGTGCCTCTGGCGGCTGCTCCTCGCCCAGGTGGTCATCGGCTGCATCCGTCAGCGCCTGCCGTTCCAAGTCCTGCAGCGCCGCCTGCTCCGCTTCTTGGGCCCCGCCCAGCAGTGCCGGCCCCTCCGCGTCCAGCTCCTCGTCGGAAACGAGCCACGGATCACCCATTCCGCTGGAGGAGGCCGGCGCTCGCGCCCGCGGGGCGACGCGGCGTGGCGGCGGAGCCCGGGTCGGGCGAAAGGGGGGGATATCAAAGGGGGGGTTTGAGAATCAGCTCACGTAGCTGATTTTCCCGGCGCCTCCCGGCGCCGGAGGCGGCTATGTATCGAGGAATGGGCCCCTCGGTGAGGCCGAAACCAGCTGCATGCAGCAAATTTCGTAACCCCCCCTTTCCCAATCCCACCCTTTCGCCCGGCCCGAGGCTGGCGCTCTGCTGCTCGCCTCCTCGGGGGCCGCCGGGCCCTTGAGCCGCGACGGCGAGAATGATGATGGCAATGCTTATGATGATGGCGATGGTGATGACGGTTCTGGTGTTCATGGCGGCGGTCAGTGCTCTGGCAGTGTCGCAACGAGGAAGTTCGAGTCGTCGTTGCGCGGGCACAACGACGACGTGCTCGAGGGGTCGGCCCCGGGGCCGGTGGCTTGCCTGAGGGCGCTGACCCACAACCCAAGCCTCAGGTCTCTGACCCGCAACACAGGCATCCGAAGTGTCCATGACACACAACCCAGGCAAGGCGGCGAGCCTCAGACGACATGCGTCCGAAGTGTGTCTGACCCACAACACAGGCATCCGAAGTGTGTATGACCCACAGCCCAGGCATCCGAAGTGTGTATGACCCACAGCCCAGGCATCCGATACGTCTCATAACCACAACCCAGGCACTTGTGCATGCATATTTTGTGTTGTTTTTTTTTTTGTTTTGGTGTTGCTTGTTATGTCATTCGGCCATTGGGGCTCCTGGGGGGTGGCGCTTGGGACCACACGAGGATCCGCCACTTACGCCACCCCCAGGATGCCCCAGTCCACGTCGCGAGATGTTGTTCCCTGACGCACAACCCAGGCATCAAGGGTGTCCCTCACACGCCACCCAGGCACGGTGGCGAGCCCGAGGTCCCTAACGCACAACCCTGGCGGCAGAGAAGTGTCATAACCACAGCCCAAGCACTTGTGTTTTCATATTTCTTGGGCGCTATTTTGTCCTCGTTGTTATGTCATCAGGTCCCTGACGCACAACCCGGGCACCCGAGATGTCTCTGACACACAACCCAAGCACGGCGGCCAGCCTGAGGTCTGTGACGCACAACCCAAGCATCCGATAATGCTCATAACCACAACCCAAGCACTTCTGTTTCCATGTCTTTTTGGATATTTGTTGTTGTCATTTGTTATGTCGTGAAGTCCCTGACGCACAACACAGGCATCCGGTGTGTCTCTAACGCACAACCCAAGCAAGGTGGCGAGCCAGAGGTCCCTAACGCACAACCCTGGCACCCTCGAGACCTCCAAACCACAACCCAGGCACGTGTGTTTATATATATGTTTTGTTCTTTTTTGTTGTCATGTGTTATGTCATTAAGTCCCTGACGAACAACCCAGGCATCCGATATGTCTCTGACCCACAACCCAGGCACGGTGTCGACCCTTCTGGGGCTCCTTGGGGGTGGCGCTTGGCCTGAGGGCGCTGACCCACAACCCAAGTCCCAGGTCTCTGACCCACAACACAGGCATCCGAAGTGTCTGGGAGACACAACCCAGGCAAGGTGGCGATCCTCAGACGACATGCGTCCGAAGTGTTTCTGACCCACAACCCAGGCATCCGAAGTGTGTGCGACCCACAACCCAGGCATCCGACAAGTGTCAGGACCACAACCAGGGCACTTCAGTTTTGATATTGTCTTGTTCTTTTGGTGCTGCCGGACAGCTCCGTACCCAATGCGCGGCGGCACATCGACGACGTGCTCGGGAGGTCGGCCCCAGAGCCGTTGGCTAGCCTGAGGGCTCTGGCACAAAACCGAAGCCTGAAGTCTCTGACCCACAACCGACGCATCCGCAGTGTCTGTGACCCACAACCCAGGCACTTATGTTTTCATATGTTTCTCTTCTCTTTCGTTGTGTTTGTTGTTTCGTTGTGGTGTCATTATTCTGTTTTGTTGTTTCTTCTTTTTTCGGCCGCCTACCCTGCCGGACAGCTCAGTGCCCAATGTGCGGACATTCGGGCGGCGAGCTGCAAGCACTAGCACTACCCCGCAGTGACTGCGGCAGGGATGGCAGGCGGCCACTCGTGCACGCCCTCTGGGTACGCCTCTGGCCCAAGCCACGTGCTAAGCAAAATGATCGCGTACACGAGCGCTTTCGGAGCCACCATGCCGCACGTCTCCAGCAGGGCGGGAGGCTGCCACCGTCTGCGGAACAGGTCCGCGCCGCCAGGGGCGCACTGGTTGATGAGCCGGCGCAGGGCGGCGGCGGCGTCCGCCGCTCCTCCCCGGCCGCCCTCCGTCGCCCAGGCCTGGCCGAAGAGAGTCCACTCGAACTCCCTCGTGGTGGACGGTTTCCCCCGGGGCCGTAGGCGACTTAGGAGGCTCCCCAGGGTTGGTTTTAAAGCTCGGGCCCGACAACGGGCCCCTGAGGCCAAACTCGAAGAAAAACCTTCGAGTTTAGGAGGTCCACGAAAAACTCCACGAAGAAACGGCGAAAAGTCCAGGAGGAGGAGGAGGAGGAGGACGGGGTCGCCGAAGCCCTTCCGAGAAACCGTCCAAACCTCGTGCACAACACGCGTGTCCGGGCGCCGCGGGGACCCACCAGCGCGCCCATGGAGGCCGCGAGGCGCGGAGCTGTCAGCGTCTTGTCGTCGACCCACAACTCCGGCACGCGGATCGTGCGCTCCACCCGCGAGGAGCCCACCAGCCTGCGAACCCTGTCCTGCAACGCCGTCGCCTCCGGGGGGGGCAGGCGGCGCCTCCACGCCACCAAGCGCTCGGCGAGCATCACGGGGTAGTCCACCTGCAACCACCGCTCCTTCGCGCGACGGGTCGCCTCCAGAGCCAGCCGCTCATTGGCCTCCCTCCGTGCGGCGGCGGCCTTGTCCAAAGCCGCCATCCGGGCCTCGGTGGCTTGCCGTTTCGCGTCCACGACGCGAACCTCCTCGCGCCGCTCGGCCGCCTGTCTCTCCCGCTCGGCCTCCCGCGCGGCCTGCCGGTCCGCCTCGCGCAGCCGCTGCGCCTCCTTGGCGGCCCGCCGGAGCCGCTGCGCCTCTGGGGCATCGTACGTCCGCCTCTTCTTGTGGCTCCGCTGGAGCTCGGCTCTGCAGCTCTTCAAGAACCGATCGTTCCGCGTCTGCTGCGCCACGACCATCACGTGGTTCAGGGCGGACAGGTACGCGGCCTCGGTGCACACGCCGCCGTGGTCTCCTGCCAAGTCGCCGGGGCCTTCCTCGGGCGCTCCTCCCGGCTCTGCACCGCCGCTGTCCCTCTCGGCGCCGCCAAGCTGGGCGCCGCCGTCTCCTGCCAGGCCGGCAGGGCCTGCCTCTGGGGCCTCTCCCGGCAAAGCGCCGCCGCCGCCAGGCCCGGCGCCCTCCGTCAGCGAGCCGCCATCGTTCAGCCAGTCGTCGTCCGCGTCGGAGGCCCCAGGCGCTGGGGCGCCCCTGGCAGCGCGGCAAGGCGCGGCGAGCGGCGCCGAGCCGCCAGCGGCGCCACCGGGTGCCGCGCCTGATGGCGCCGCGCCGCTCCCCGCCGAGGCGTTCGCGGGAGTGCTCGGCGGCGCCGCGCCGCTGGGCGACGGCGCCGCAGCAGCCGCCGCACCTCCGCCTGCCGCTGGGGCGCCCCTGGCAGCGCGGCAAGGCGCGGCGAGCGGCGCCGAGCCGCAAGCGGCGCCCCCGGGAGCCGCGCCTGACGGCGCCGCGCCGCTCCCCGCCGAGCCGCTGCAGGGAGCGCCCGGCGGCGCCGCGCCGCTCTGCGATGGCGCCGCAGGAGCCGCCGCGCCTCCGCCTGGGCGACCACGACGTTGCCCAAGGTCCCGGGGCCGTTTTCGAAGGTCCCGGGGCGGTTTTCGAAGGTCCCGGGGCCCGAAGGAGGACGTGGGCGAACGACGGCGAGGACGAACACGATGCCTCCTTCGCCAGGGTCGTCCCCGCCGTCGTCGTCCTCCTCCTCCTCGTCCGGGACGACCTCCCAGTTCGCGCCCTCGAGCCCCTCCTCGGCGCACGGGTGTGGCTTGTGGTGCTCTATCAGCAGGTCAACGTCGGCCCACGAGGACAGCGTGCCAGCGGACCACATCTCATCCACCGTCTGCTGCGCGTGGCGCCAGAGTGCCGGCCCGCCCAGCGCCTCCCAGAAGGGCCGGAGGTCGACGAAGACGTCCTCAGGCACAGCATCGCCTCCCAGGAGCGGCCCGGTCTGGCGGTACCCCTTCTCGGAGAGGCCCCGGTGGTCCAGGGACATCCACATCTCTGCGACGGCGTCGATGACGTCCTGGCGGGACAAGCTGGCGATCTTGGAGGGGTCCTCCTGCCGCTGCTTGTGCAGCACGCGAGTCTCGATCTGCTCCATGAGGCGCTGTACCAGGGCGTGGAAATGTGTGTCATTGATTTGCTCCAGCCCAGTCACGCCGCCGCCATGGTACAACACCACGTGGCCCATGTCCCTGATTGCCTGCTGCACCTCTGCCGTGAGGTGGGCCGAGTACCAGTCGAGCAGGATGACTATTGAATCCTCCGGCTTTGCAGCAGGCTGCAAAGCAAAGCCTAAGGCGTCCATCACGTCGTCTGCTCGGTAGCTGCCCTTCTCCTGAAACTGCAAGTGCATCCAGGGCGGGACCTGCAGCTCCTGCCGCAGGCGTGCCCCGCTCTGAGCCTTGAAGAGCACTGCCACAGGCGGGACCGCGCCGTCCAGAGGCTGCCAAGACTGCACGCACGTCAGGATAGTGTACCTGTCTCTGGTGGCTGCATGGTTCTCCTTGGCGGCCACTCGACGAGACCCTCTACGGGCGTACATCGGTCTGCGGCCAGCGTTGTTCATCCAACTGGGCTTCTGGTCTGCCGAGAACCATCGCATCGCCGTCCCTGGGTGGCACCGCGACCAGTGGTGGCGCAGCCGAAAGATGTTCCCGAACATGCACCTCACGCGGTCCAGCGCCTTCGCGTAGCTGACCTGGAAGTGCGTGGTGCCCTGGCGGATGCTGATGCCATGCTCCTTGCGCCACAAGTACAGCCATCCCTTGTGGATCTTGGGCAAGTCCTCCTCTCGCTGGCCCTGCTGCAGCAGCTGGCTTCTGAGCCACACTGCGTGCTCAAGCATGAGCGACGAGTCACCGCGCGACGTCAAGGATTCGATTTCGTCAACAAACCATTGGAGCAGCTCGAACCCAATCAACGAGGACATGCGCTGGAGCTGGCTGCGTTCCTGCGGGTCGTCCGACCGCCGCCTCCTCTGCTGCCGGTCCTCCGCGCCCGCCCCTGCTGGGGTCAGGCGCCCAGCCTTGCTCTTGCCGGCCCACTCCGCGTAGACCCGCTTCAGCCGGCACGCCACGGCATTGGAGGGCGTCAGGTTGAACATGTTGGTGGCGAGGGCACCCCACGGCATGCGAGTGTAGTGGATGCCAGCTCCTGCTTGCTCCTCGACCCAAGCGCCAATGCGCGCGCCCATCTCCAGCCTCGTGCTGATCGGCAACGCGGACGACCGCCCTTGCCGCCCAGCTCGTCGCCGAGCCCGAGGCTCGGGCGCAGCCTGCTCCAGACTGCCGCGAAACAGGGCGGCCTGATCGTTAAAGGTTCAACGTTTGGCGCTTGCCACAACGGCGAACCCTTCAAACTGCAATGATTCACCCTCGTGACAACGGCCAATCGTTGAACCTTAAACTTTCGGGCAACCTTGCGTCGAGCACGTCTTCGTCGTCTCCGTCCTCGTCGTCGTCGTCGTCGTCGTCGTCGTCGTCGCCGTCGTCGGCGACTCCAACGGAGACGACGACGTCGCCGACGACGACGACGACGACGGAAACGACGAGGCCGAGGACGAGGACGACGACGACGACGACGGCGCCTGCGCCGCCAGCGCGGCCAAGTAAGCCATGCCAGCGCGGCGCTGCGAAGCGCCTGCGCCGCCAGCGCGGCCAAGTAAAGCCATGGGGCTTTATCTTTCCCGCGCTGCTTGCGCCCATCCTGCTTGAACTCGCAGGAGATCTCTTGCGTCAGGCACCTCGCCTCCAAGTTCCCCACCGTGGTGTCGGCCGCCGTCGCCTCCAAGACCGCCCAGAAGGGCGACACCCCTAGGGCCTTGCCTGGCTTGAACTGGGCGAGGGGGCTCTGGATGATGTATTTCGATAGGTCGTCGCAGATGTCGTAGGCTCCGATTTCTGTCGTTACCAAGTAGGGGTGCTGCGGATGATGCGATTTTGGCCTCCTCATCTTGGCCCCCTCCGAGAAGTCGTGCACAGGTCCGTGCGGAATCAACACCACCTCGCCGACTGCGAAATCTTTCGCGGCCCTCGCCTGAAACACACACGGGTTTGAGGACTCCATGCTGCGGGCCGTGATATTGGCAGCGCACCCGCTGTGTTTGACCTGCAGCTGCTGCAGGGCCGTCTGCATCATCAACTTGAAGACCGCGTCCTGGCTGGGCATCGCGGCGGCGGGCATCACCTGGAGGCGCGACGCGTCGATCTCGTACGGCTGGATGATGGCAGGCTCCGTTGGCTTCTGGCCGCTGTTGTCACCAGGCGGCGCCTGCGCGGCGCCCAGGGCGCCAGCCGGCTCCTGCGCGGCAGGCGAGGCTCCGTGGGTCGAGGCGTCGGCGACGCCTGGGGCAGGCGGCGCGCCGTCGAGCGGCGCGGGGAGCTTCTTCTCGTCGGCGGCGAGCTGGGGGGGAGGGAGCTCGAGGGAGGGAGCTGGAGGGAGGGAGCTGGAAGGTGAGTGCTGGAGGGCGGGGGCCGGAAGGCGAGAGCTGGAGGGAGGGAGCTGGGGGGCGGGTGCTGGAGGGCGGGAGCTGGCTGGTGGGAGCTTGGCGGCGGGAGCGGGGGAGAGGGGGCTGGGAGGAGGGAACTGGGGAGAGGGAGCTGGAAGGAGGGAGCGGGGGGAGAGAGCTGGGGGGAGGGAGCTGGGGGAGGGAGCTGGGGGGCGGGGGCCGGAGGGTGGGAGCTGGAGGGAGGGAGCTGGGGGGCGTGTGTGCTGGAGGGCGGGAGCTGGCGGGTGGGAGCTGGGCGGCGGGAGCTGGGGAAAGGGAGCTGGGAGGAAGGAGCTGGGGAGAGGGAGCCGGAAGGAGGGAGCGGAGGGAGAGAGCTGGGAGGAAGGAGCTGGGGGAGCTGGAGGGAGGGGCCCGGAGGGGCGGAGCTGGCGGGTGGGAGCGCGAGGGCGGGGGCTGGAGGGAGGGGGCCGGGGGGAGAGAGCTGGAAGGAGGGAGCTGGGGCGCGGGTGCTGAAGAGCGGGAGCTTGAGGGGGGAATCTGGCCAGAGGAGGTGGAGGAAAGCCTCCTCGACCTCCTCGAAGGCCTCCAGGGCGTCTGCCTTTCTCTTCGCGGTGGTCGGAGGAGAGCAAATGGAGACAGCCGCGGATAGAGAAAACCGCTCGGAACCCGAGCGAATCGGCCGCCGAACCTCCTCCGAGGACCGCGTGCTCAGTTTTTCCGTGCCGCGCCCAGCCGTGGCGACGAGGCCCCCCCGAGGAAAAAAAAACCTTGTCTCAGAAAGAAAACCGCCCAGAACCCGAACAAGTCGGCCGCCGAACCTCCTCCGAGGACCACGTGCTCAGTTTTTCCGTGCCGCGCCCAGCCGTGGCGACGAGGCCTCCCCGAGGAAAAAAAAAACCTTGTCTCAGAAAGAAAACCGCCCGGAACCCGAACAAGTCGGCCACCGAACCTTTTTCCGAGGTTCACGTGCTCAGTTTTTCCGTGCCGCGCCCAGCCGTGGCGACGAGGCCCCCCCGAGGAAAAAAAAAAACCGTCTCAAGTCGCCCTCCTCCGATGGTGGTTTTCTTGGGCGCCAGCTCGTACTCCGTGTCCGGCGGCTGGTAGAGCGCGGCGGCGGGCTTCTCCGCGATGGCCCTGCACTTGAGCAGGTCGTCGGCGTACTTCGCCTCGATGGCGGCCATAGAGGTGTTGGCCAGAGCGGGCGTTCCAGGCCACTTGAGAACGATTTTGCCCACCCTGAAGAACAGCTTGGCGCGGCTCATGAGGACGTCCTTCGCCGATCCCCGGGCCTGCTGGATTTTGTAATAAGCGAGGACGTCCTTCAGGAATTTATCAGCCGTTTGCTGGATGACAGAGGAGCCCGCGATCGCGTCAATCGTCTCTTTGCGCATGCTCTGCGCCACCGCTGCGACGCCGCCGGACTGCCTCTTCAGGTTCCCGCACTGCATTGCTGAGAGGTACTGGTAGATCGCCAGGCCGACCTTCACGTGGGGGAACTTCGGGCCCAAGGACGCTATCATTTGAAAATCGCTGGGCCGAACTCTCAATATGGAGCTGGGAACAACGGCGAAATGTACCTGGCCCAGCGCCTCCACCAGGCCAGCAGGAACCCGGATGGCGAAATTGAAGAGCATCATCTTGTCGTTATCGCTGTATGTGTTCTGGCCGAACCTCTTGTCGCAAAGAGAAATGGCCGCCCTGCACCTCTCGCTGGGGTCTCTGATGTGGCTGGTGTTGTCTGCGCAGTCACGTAGCGCGCGCAGGATCTCCATCTCGCTGGTCCCCATGTCCGTCGTCGCGTCCATGTTGTCCTCGCCCACAATCGCCAACAACCCGGTCGTGTCATAGTATAATTCTGGGCGCATGACCTCGCATGCGATGCCCTCCGAGATGTGCTCCTTGAGCTTCACGTCCTGTGGGTTCGCCACGATGGGGTCGTCGGTGCCGTACAGCATCTTGTTGCCCTCGGTGTAGAGCTTGATGGCGTGGGCGAAATGGTTCTTCGTCAGCAGGGCGAACCGCATGTCCGCGGAAAAAGATGGGAGCAGAGGGTCTGATTCACACATGGTCTTATTGAAGGCCCGGAATGCCTCCAATTTATCATCCGGCACCCGCACGACGGTGGCGTCGCGGTAGCGCCGCCTGCTCAGCCCGTCCTTCTTGATGCTTTCGACAACCTCGTGCACGTGAAAGCCGCTCACGCCGAGATTGCTCCTGTTGCAGGGAACGGTTCCCAGCAGCCGACAGTGGATGAACTGCACTTCCCCCGTGCTGTAGGCGACGCGGGCCTGCTCGGCGAGCCCGGCGATGGGCTTGCCCTCCGCGAGCCCGGCGACGGGCTTGCCCTCTGGCCCTGCCCCGCCGCCCGCAGGCGCCCCGGCAGGATCTGGCATTGCGTGGCGCGCGCCGCACAGGAGCGCCAGGAGCAGCCCAAGCATCCGAGAGGTGATCGACTAAACACGAAGCAAACGGGTCCTGAGGGAAACGGGTCCTGTGTCCCCAGGGACTGCCCTCCGGGGCCGTGTTCTAAGCCCGAGCCGTGTTCTAAGCCCGAAGCGTTTTTTGTCGGCCCCGGGTCTCGGGGAGGGCCCCAGGCAACCCGAAAAAAAATACTCAAAACCTTTTTGCTTCATGTTGACCCGCCCGCAAGGCTGGCGCAGCGGCTGGCCTGAAGCTCAGCCGAAAAAGGCTACACATGTACTGTTGTTGACGCAGGCCCCACAACCCAGGCATCCGACGTGTGTATGACCCACAACCCAGGCATCCGAAGTGTGTGCGACCCACAACCCAAGCAATGTGGCGACCCTTAGACCACATGCATCCGCTGTGTGTCTGACCCACAACCCAGGCATCCGAAGTGTGTATGACCCACAATCCAGGCATCCGAGACGTCTCATAACCACAACCCAGGCACTTGTGTTTCCATATTTTGTGTTGTTTTTTTTTGTTGTTGTTTGTTATGCCATTCGGCCATTGGGGTTCCTGGGGGGTGGCGCTTGGGACCACACGAGGATCCGCCACTTACGCCACTCCCAGGATGCCCCAGTCCTCGTCGCGGCGCCGACGGGGTGGCGCTCGGGACCACACGAGGATCCGCCACTTGCGCCTCCCTCGGCGCCGCTTTTGGGGATCCTTGGGGGTGGCGCTTGGGACCACACGAGGATCGGCCACTTACACACAACCCAGGCGTCCGAAAAGTGTCATAACCACAACCCAAGCACTTGTGTTTTCATATTTTTGGGGCGCTATTTTGTCGTCGTAGTTATGTCATTAGGTCCCTGACGCACAACCCGGGCATCCGAAATGTCTCTGACACACAACCCAGGCACGGCGGCAAGCTTGAGGTCCGCGACGCACAACCCAGGCATCAGAGATGTCCCTAACACGCCACCCAGGCACGGTGGCGAGCCTGAGGTCCCTAACGCACAACCCAGGCGTCCGAGAAGTGTCATAACCACAACCCAAGCACTTGTGTTTTCATATTTTTGGGGCGCTACTTTGTCGTCATTGTAATGTCATTCGGTCCCTGACGCGCAACCCGGGCATCCGAGATGTCTCTGACACACAACCCAGGCACGGCGGCAAGCCTGAGGTCCGTGACGCAAAACCCAGGCATCCGAAGTGTGTACGACCCACAGCCCAGGCATCCGATAAGTCTCATAACCACAACCCAGGCATTTGTGTTTCCATATTTTGTGTTGCTCTTGTTTTGTTGTTGTTTGTTATGCCTTTAGGCCATTGGGGCT